CTGCTGCGGGTGAGGAGGCGTCTGCTGCTTCAGCGCCCTTGGTCCTGCCGGTACCTTGGCTGGTCGAGTCCTGTACCTCTCCAGGTTTGCCGTCGCTGGATATCGCACTGGCTCGGGGTGCGATGAGCAATTTGTCGTCGCTGCGGCGGGGTTTATATCCCCCGCCGGGCGAGACTTGAACGCGAATCTGCGTTTGTCGCGCCAGCCCCCTGGGGGCTCGGCCGCGGTACCTGTATTTCGCAAGTCGCGAGCACTTGCGAGAAACTTCGCGTGTTCGCCCGCGCGCCCTCAGTCTACGCGGCGGGTTCTCGTTCGGTTGGCGCTTGGTGGCTGCCACAGGGCCCCTTGGGTAGTGGCGGAGCCATCTTCTGCATGAACCTTACTGTCGGTCTCGATTGTCTTCCGGACTTTGTTGTGACTGGTGCTGGTATCTGGTCCTTGTTATCGGTCTCAGTAGCTTCCTTCAATGTGTATGCTGGTTTGAGGCAATCTATCGAGACGCGAACTGGTTTTCCCTTAATTTTTAGCTTGAATGTTTTTTCATTCCGTTGGTGGACTTCGTATGATCCGTCGTATGGTGCTTGCAGGGCTCTTGACGGTGCGTCGTGCCTTAGGAAGACCTTAGGTGTCTTCTCTAAACCTTTGAAGACGAATGTTGCCTTTTCTCCGTGTCCGTGTAGCCTCGGCTGTAGATGTTCCATGGCTTTTTTTAACGTGATCAGGTATTTGTGGTCCTCTTAGTTCCGGCAGGGTTTGCTTGTTAGGAATTGTCCTGGTAGCCGTATAGCTTCCCCCAGGACTAGCTCCGCGGAGGTAGCCTGCAGGTCTTCCCTTGTCGCGGCTCGAATTCCCATTAATATTACTAGGAGGACCTCCGTCAATCGCTTTGTTTGGTGGCTTTTGATGGCAGCTTTTATTTGCCGATGGAGGCGTTCTACCATGCTGTTTGCCTGCGGATGGTAAGCGGTTGTTCTCCAATGGATGGCTCCGATCAGTTGTGTTAGCCTTTTGAATAAGTTTGCCTCGAACAGACGACCCTAGTCCGTCGTTATCCTTAGTGGGACGCCAAACCGTGCTATCCACGTGCCTATAACTGTTTCGCTATGGTTTCTGCCGTTATGTCGGCTACTGGAATTGCCTCGAGCCAGCGTGTGAAACGATCGATTACCGTTAGGCAGTAGCGGTAGCCTTCTGAACTTGGTAACGGGCCGACGAGGTCCACGTGGATATGTTCGAATCGCTGGGTTGGTCCCACCACATTATGGACCGGTATCTTGGTATGCCTTGTGATTTTGGCTCTTTGGCATTGGATGCATGTCTGGGCCCATTGTTTGCAATCTTTCTTGACGTTTGGCCAGACGAATCGGCTTGCTACCAGCTTGGTCGTTGCTTTTATGCCGGGATGCGCTAAGTCGTGTAGCGACTGGTATGCTTGCCGGCGAAATTCCTGCGTGAGGTACGGTAGTGCTATCGCTGTGCTGGTGTCACAGTATACGGCTGCTTTTGTACCGGACACGGGTACTCTCTCCAGCCGGAGTCCTTTGTTGTCTTTTAGCACCGTTTGCAGTTCCTTGTCGCTCTCTTGGGCTTTGGCTAAGTCCTCAAAGTTGATTCCTTGTCGTATTTCCTCGATTCTGGACAAGGCTTCTATATTATCCTTGCCTGCGAGTATATAGCGGATATCAGTTGTGAACTGGCTTATATACTCTAGATGGCGTGCCTGTCTTGGTGAGCTGCGTAGCGGATCCTGATTGAAGGCGTAGGTTAACGGCTTATTGTCCGTTCAGATAGTGAACGGACAGCCCTCCAGCATATGTCGGAAGTGCTTGACTGCCGAGTATACTGCCAGCAGCTCCCTGTCGTAGGGACTGTATTTTGTCTGCGCATTATTTAATTTTTTGCTCAGAAAGGCCAGTGGTTGCCAGGTCTGTCCTTTCCCTTGTTGCAGCACTGCCCCTATTGCCACGTTTGATGCGTCTGTTACCAGTCGCCACTCTGCTGTTGCGTTTGGGTGTGCTAGCAGAGTTGCTTGTGCCAGGTTTTCCTTTACCTTGTTGTATGCTATATCTCGTTCGGGTGTCCATTCTACCGGTACGCTTCCTTTCATATTCGTACCTTTAGCGCCTAGTTTAGGGTTGCCTGAGTTTGGGCTGCTCCTGGTATGAATCTTCTGTAGAAATTTGCCATCCCCAGTAATTGTCGCAGTTGCTTGATGGTTGTCGGCTTCGGAAAATCTCGTATGGCGTTTATTTTATATTCCAGTGGTTTTGTCCCTTCGGCCGAGACTTCATACCCTAGGAACGCTATTTTGTTTTCTCCCAGGATGCATTTTGGTGGGTTGATTTTGATCCCGTGTCTTTCGAGCCTTTGGAACACCGTGCAGGTGCTGCTTATGTTCTTCTGGTGTATTAGATGCTACTAGTACACGTAGCAGTATTCCAGGTCTTGAAGTACGTCATTGATGAACCATTGGACGTCTGTGCCGCATTTCGTGGTCCAAATGGCATGTACAGTCTGTAAAGTAAGAGCGTGTATGGCATAAATGGCAG